ATAGTAAAACACATAGGAAGTTGAATGTGATTCCCCACCCCCAAAACATACATCATCCAATTAATGGACATTCAGCTTCAAGACATTCACTAAATTGCTATTTAAGTTAATGGACTATAAGTATACAAAATGAGATTTAATTTCGAAATATTGAAATAATATTTACTTAAATTAAAACTAAATTTTTATTTAATTTGATATCAAATCAAGACTAATTTTAGATTATATTATATCCAACTAAAATTTAGTTATATTAAATATAATACTAAATTTTTATTCATCTAACTTTTAAACTTTATTAAAGTCCATTTTGTATACAAAAATCCATAATAAATTAAAAAGTTATGTATGACATAATTTTTAAATTAACATGTTATGAACATAATAATACAATGATTATAATATACTGCACATCTTTGAACATCAGACAAAATTTGCAATCTGCCCAAGATGTTCTAATTTTGACATAATAGTTGTAAAAAAAAAATTGTTTTTAAGTAGGTAATATAATTTTTGTGTAATAAATGGCATTTAATTGGGAAGTAAATGTAAAACCACTGTTCCAACTACTATGATTTTCTTAACACAATAACAAACTGAAGTCAATCACCAATTATAGCATGCATTTCTTCATCGCTCTTAAAATCTTCATTATTTCATCACCCATCTAACTTCAATCCAACATATTTAACGATCTTTTCTTGATCATCCATGCAATTAAGTGGAATGCAAGGTATTGAAAGATTCAAATCAAACAAGGTAAGTATTTAATGATCTTTTCTCCATAGATGTTTGTTATTAGTTGTGTTATGTCCACAACTCTTATCTTCTTATTTTGATAGGCAGAAATAGTAGTCATTTCTTTAACATGAGATTGTTAATTTTTTTTGCTTAGGTATAATCGAAACAAATGGAAAAAGGAAAGCAGGTTCTTATAGACTTAAATAGTGATATAGCAGATGACATATTGAATGATTTTAAAAATGATGAATATCAGCACATGGACTTCCATCAGAAAAGCAAGGATGAGTTAGCATCCAATGAAGCCATTGCAAGCAAGGACGAGTTAACATCAATTGAAGACATTGCAATGAAGGAAGATTTAACATCTACAGAAGTCCTTGCAATGACATTTATATCACATGAAGATGCTAGACAATTTTATAACACATATGGTAGATATGCGGGTTTTAGTGTTCGTAAGGATGACCTAAAGCATGACAAGAATAACATGCCAATTTCAAGACGGTGGGATTGTTCCTGAGAAGGGTATCGGTCGACAAAGAATGCAGAACGCGTAGAGCGATCAAGGGAACCTCGAGGGTTAACACGACTTGGATGCAAGACAACCTTTCGAGTGAAGTTTGATAGGAAGACACAAAAATGGGTTGTAAAAGAGTTTGTAATGGATCATAACCATGAATTGGTTTCACAACGTGGTGTTCCATTTCTCCAATCACACAGGTGTGTCAAGAGCCCCGACAGAGCACAAGCTATATCATTGCGAATGTTGGTATGCGTACAAGTCATATTAGAGATTTCATGTTGCAACAATCGGGAGGATATCAAAATGTTGGGTTTACCACAAAGGATCTCTACAATGACATGACATCCTACCATAAAGAAGAGTTGAGAGATGGTGATGCAGAGGGCGCATTAGCCTACTTGAGCGCGAAGGAAGAGTTGGACCCGCAATTCTATTTCAAGTATTCTGTCGCCAATGACAATTCGTTGAATTGCTTGTTTTGGGCTGATTCGACATCTCGACTAGATTACAAGTGCTTTGGTGAGGTGGTGACGTTTGATACTACATATCGAACGAATGCCTATAAGAAGCCGTTTGTGATATTTGCCGGTGTCAACCACCACAACACTACAACTATCTTTGGGTGCGCATTACTTTCAGACGAGACGATTGATACATATGTGTGGGTATTGAATACCTTTCTTCATGCAATGGAAAACAAGATGCCTGTATCTGTTATTATGAATGGAGATAAAGCAATGGCTGATGCAATTGAAAGAGTATTTCCTCAAGCGACGCATCGCTTATGTAGATGGCATTTGTCAAGAAATGCCTTCACAAATATAAATGCTAAAAATTTTGTCAATGCATTTAAGAGGTGCATGTGTGCTCAATGCACTCCGGAAGAATTTGAAAATGAGTGGAAATCAATGGTCGAATCATTTGGACTGGAGACAAACAATTGGATAGCGGAAGTTTATGCAAAGCGATTCAAATGTGCCGAAGCGTACTTGCGAGGAAAATTTTTTGTCGGCTTAAAAAGCACGCAACGATAGGAGAGTATGAATGCCTACCTGAAACACTTTCTAAAAACAAGCCAACGATTATTCAAGTTTGTTAGGCATTATGACAGGGGCTTGGCAAGGATCAGGGAGTGCGAGGCCAATGATGACTTTGAGTCGGAACATTCGAGGCCAGTGATGCAGATTGCACTGAGATGCTTAGAGGAGCATGTTGCTGCTCTATATACCAGAAGTATTTTCTTCAAGGTCCATGATAAGATACGAGAAGAAGTTGTATTTTTTGTAGTGGATAAGATCAAGATTGAAAGTCATCGGAGTTACTATTTGTCTCGATTCACAAAACCAGAATCACGGTGGATTGTGCAATATTATCCTCAAATTGATGTTTTTAAATGCAATTGCATGAAATTTGAGTCTTTTGGGATTCCATGCTCTCAGATGATCGCGGTCATGAAGTATGAGCACATACAAGAGTTTCCTCATACCATTGTGATGGACAAGTGGACCATTAAAGCAAAATCTAGGTATAAATGTGCACATGAATGTGGTAACGTGCAGCCGAATGTGTCAATTCCTACGCGTTATGCTGGAATTATGTCAATGTCCTGCCAAATGTGTTATTATGGTTTACATTCGCTCTCAGACTCAAATGACTTGAGGAGTATGGTGCAACAAAAAACTTCTCTTCTAAAAGCCCGTCATGAGTCACTTGGCAAACACGATGCAAATGTGACGACTACACAATTCGGTGTGAATGATCCAAAGATTATGAAAACCAAAGGTAATCATAGTCGTGCACAAAAGAATATTCCAATCAAGCCGCGAAGATGTAGTAAATGCAAGGGCACTGGCCATACTGTTAGAAAATGTCCACTCTTGATGTCTCAATCCAATGATCCATTCGAGGATATGCCATTTTCACAACCAATTGGATCATAGCCACCACAGAACATTCCTTTTTCACAACATAGTGGATCAGACCAACCACCACACATGTCTTTTTTACAGCATAGTGGATCGCAACAATATATGCCATCATTGAAAGAGGATGATCGTTGCATTCCCTTTGTCAATGAGGGTATCCTCAACTATAGGTTCATATAATACTCTTTGGATATTTATAATTTTTTTTTCATATGTACTCATTCCTTGTTATTTTAGGATGGGATGTCAAACTTTGATTCTACCATTCAATCATAGTACATCAACACTAGTTTCAATGGAAGTAATTACAAAAATTACAAATTTTATTCCACAAATTTTGTTTTTCCACCATTGTCATCTAACCATCAATTTATGCTATCATAGTGGGCGCAAAGATCATGGAGCAAGATGGGTTGAAGAAATTTTAATTTTTTTGCAACTTTGAATGAAAATGGTTTAATTTACATTCTCCATTCCAAGTTTTTTTTTTTTTGCTTTTTTGGACGAAGAAGAGGGCAAAAAAAGCATATTATGAGTTGAGTATTGCTTGTTAAAACATATTTCCCTCTTCGCTTTTTTGTTGCTTTGGTGAGTATTGCTTGTTAATTTCTACTATTATGAGTTATTATAACAGTCTAAGCCATAGCCATGATTTTTCATGCACCAATGCCGAACGAAATCTGTTTTATTGTGCATTCCCACAACTTTTTGGTTGTAACATTATCACTTTTATTTGGTAAGATTACCAATTATTCGAGGTAAAATTACCACTTTTGAGGGAAAGATTACCATTGTTTTGGTTAACATTATCATTTTTATTAAGAGTACCATTTTTTTTTTGTTAATATTATTATTTTTTTGGTTAAGAGTACCACTTTTTTTTATTAATATTATCTTTTTTTTGGTTAACATTACCACTGGTTAAGAGTATCATTTTTTTGCTTAACATTACTACTTTTTTTTGTTAATATTATCATTTTTTTAGTTAAGAGTACCACTTTTTTGGTTAACATTACCACTAGTTAAAAGTATCTTTTTTTTTGTTAATATTACCACTGTTTTGGTTAAGAGTACCACTTTTATTGATAACATTACCATTTTTTTGGTTAAGAGTATCACTTTTTTGATTAATATTACCACTGTTTAAGTTAAGATTACAAATTTTTTGGTTTACATTACCACTATTTTGTTTAACATTACCATTTATTAGGTTAAGTGTACCATTATTTTTTTGTTAAGAGTACCACTTTTTTGGTTAAGAGTACCATTATTTTGGTTAACATTACCATTGATTAGGTTAGCACTGCCACTTTTATGGTTAATATTGTTTTGGTTAACATTACCATGAATTTTTTGTTGAGAGTACCACTTTTTTAGTTAACATTACCACTGTTTTGGTTAATATTACCACTTTTTGGGGTGGTTAAGATTACAACATTTTTGTGTGTAACATTATCACTTGTATTTGATAAGAATACCACCTTTTTCTATAAGATTACCCATTATTTGAAGCAAGATTATCACTTTTTTGGGTAATATCATCATTTTTTAGGGAGGATTACCACTTTTGAGGAACATATTACTATAGACATTGTTTTTACCAAAATAAAAAATTAACTGTTTACAGAAAACAAAACTAGAAAAACCTGTTACAAAAAAATAGATTTTATGTTTTTGTAACGAATTTTCTGTTGCAAATTCTGAGACAAAAACCAGATAAAATTGGTACATTTTCCTGAACCAACTGAAAATACGCCAAGCAGTAACTCTTTAGCTTCCACCCTCCAAATCCAGCAGGATATTGACAGCTTAGAATCAGCCCACACCACAGCTTTGCAGCATCAGAGGCTCTACAGAAGCAGCTCAACAGCTCCAAGACTAGCCCAGCAATCAGCAACACTAGTTCAGTAACTCAACAGCTCCAGGATACTAAGCCCAACAGCAATAGCTCAACAGTAGCAGGATACCAACTCCAGTTCACTGCATACAACACCCCAGCAAACACCTATTCAACCTTTATCATCAAATACCATAGAAGTCTTAGTGCGCAAAATACGAAGACCTCTTTGATCCTGCAGCCTCTGCCTGACAACACTAGAAGCTGGCCACTTACAGAAAATTCAATAAACTATATAATCCATGATCCAAAGTAAACTATATACTCAGCCTAAAACTGTATAATCAGCTTGAAAATTCAGTAAACTGGAAAATCAGCTTCTCTATCAACATGATCCAAAGTAAACTGTAATCTGCTCAACAAAGACTGAATTTGTTCCAAAAGACTCAGCAAATGTCAAGCACAACCCATAAAGCCCTTAACAGTCCTGACTAAAAAAAATATTACATAATTCCAAACAAGAACATTAATGACAATTTGTTCCCTGTTTCAGTCTCACTGCTAAACACAATGGTGACAACACCAAGCACCAGAAATAAACTGTAATGAGAAGATCAACCTCGGCGTTTAAAATTGAATTCTTTACATGATCCTTTAAAAGACTGGACCGTTCTTTGTCTCTCTCAAGACTCCTCAAATCCACCATAATCCCCAAAACAAAAGGGTTGAAAATAATAACACGGGTATTATATACAACAAAGGAAACAATACGGCACAATCACATTAATTCCTTGTACATTGTAGGATATTTCCTCATCATCACAAAGTAAAAAAGAGATAATATGATCACCACCTTTCACTGAATAATAAGAAATGTCTTTAGTGAATAATGCACAAAAACTGAGAGAGAGAGAGAGAGATGGAAATCCATATGCATATATATTTGTTTCATCACATTTCACTACTGCTACTTCAACTATTGTATAAACAACCAACAACTACAGTTATATAATTCTCACTTTCTAGCTATTTCTTTGCTTTTCATAAAAAAAGACTCAATTCTATCCCACCTACTATCTATTTTATCCAACCTACTATCAATTTTATCCAACCTACTATCCATCACCTTGAGAGACTCCTTTATTTCATTTTGAGTATTTCCAAATTCCTCCATCATTCTTCCCATTCGTATCATCACAAATGCATATATAGACAATCGTTCATCCAATGAAGGAAGACCACTTGTGGAAGAATTTGGGACAGTTTGGGCTGCAATATTATCCTCAGGTGCAACTTCATTCTGGATTTCAACTTGTGGCTGCTGTGGCTGAGTTTTCTTATTCTTCTCTTTCCCCAAACTCTGTTGTGGCTGAATTTTCTTATTCTTCCCTTGTCCCAAACTCTTTTTTATTGTCCCACCATTAATTGGATTCATGGGAGTAGAATAAGCATCGCTTGAGTGAATCACAACTCCACAATCCTCCATAATCTTTGAAATCAAAATTGGAAATGAGAGACATATTCAACTATCATTCGTACCGTGTGCCGAAATAATTTCATCAATTATTAAACAAGGTAGATCTATACTCATACCCGTTCCAATGGCATACAGGAGATAAGCTCGATCAAGTCCAAAATCAGCATTATGTGCAATTGGACGAATATTGTACCCCACTATAAGGTTTAAAATCCTATATTTATGAGTCAGGTGTTGCTGACAAATGATGGATCAGTAGCACTCTCACTAAAATTATTAGGTATACCCTCGATTTCTATATAAACATCTTCCAACTTAGGTATGTGCTTAGAATTATTGAATGGATAAGAAAGTGTCTCATCATGAAGGAAGGGTCGGTGAACTCCCAATATTTTTGAAACTAAATCTGGGGTTACTTTAAAACTTACCTTCCTCACAAGGGACTTAAACTTGTGATTAACTTTATCAATATCATGCAGGTTAGAATAAAATATCTTCACCTATGTATTATATGCTTTATCCATCTTCTTGATATGAACTGAAGAATTCCATCGATGAAGAGCAAAAATAACATCTAATCCTACATCTTTTAATTCATCCACTACAACACCCCTCTCCAATAACAAAGGTTTATTATAAAAGCAATTATCATACCGATGTTTGCAATCATCATTGAAGAAAGATATGTCTTCATTGGATGAACTTGTTGGATTGGGGTTGGATGAACTTGTTGGATTGGGATTGGGGTTGGGTGAACTTGATGTATTGAATGAGGGATCAACTGGATTGGTGGAGGTGGGATCAACAATGGGATCAATTGGATTGGTGGAGGTGGGATTAACTATTGAGGACGGATCAACGGAGGGAGGATGATTACATTTCTTCTTCTTCGAGGGACCTCCCTCATTACAGCTCTCTTTCCTCTTCATTTTTTCACTGGTATCAACTTTTGGCCTATACTTCTTGGTCATTATACTTTGCTGTAACAAGAAAAAAATCTGCACTAACATGGAACATTATCTATTACTTTTGAGCAATAACAATTAACAATTGAGCAATAGCAATAAACCATCATTCACAAAAAACATAATTCTCAACTCATGTGTACAAAATTATTATGAAATTAAGAGAGAGACAACTATGTATACAAAAATATGATGAAATTGAGAGAGAGAGAGAGAGAGAGAGAGAGAGAAGAAAGAACCTTGGAGAAGATGAAGGCGGTGGGAGTGGGTTTTGGGTTTTCACCGATTTGGGAGGTGGTTGATCCAAAAATGGTTGTGATTTAGGATTTTGGTATGCAATCAGGTTGGTTTTTCACCCATTTGGGTTAGATTTGGGGTTTGATCGCTGATTTAGGGTTTTGAGGAGTTTGGGGGAATAGAAGACAAGGGAGTTGAGAGAGACTTGAGAGTCTTGAGCGATCAACTTGGAGACTTTGGAGTTATCTCTTATCTTGATCGCTAACAAAAATCTCGATCGCGTATGTAGCGATCAGTAGCGATCAAGTTGCAAAATAATTTCGCTAAACTAATCTCGATCAAGATGTTACGGGCTAATCTCGATCACTCAAGATATGTCCAATAAATTTCACTTATACCCCTAATTTTAACTTAACCCAAAATATAACCCCAACAAATGACAATTTTACCCAAATATTGTAAAATTTTCCTTATATTTTTATTTTAGGTTTAAATATGATAAATAACTATCATTTTTTAAAACTAATTTTAATTTCTATTATCACTTAAAATAGTGGTGAACTTAGATAATCTAATCTAACCTCCTAATATTTTTAACTTAATCTAAAATGGTATATTTAATGTCACTCAATAACCCCAAATATTGTAAATTTTTTATTATATTTTTATTTCATGTTTAAATATAATAAATAATTATCATTTTAATTTCTATTATCACTTATTTTTAAAGTGTAAGGGATTCATGTTTAAATTTTTTAAAGTGTATAGGGGTTCATGTTCATGTTCACTTAATAACCCCAACTATTGTAAATTTTTTCTTATATTTTTATTTCATGTTTAAATATAATAAATAATTATCATTTTAATTTCTATTATCACTTATTTTTAAAGTATATAGGGTTCATGATTAAATTTTTTAAAATGTAAAGGGGTTTATGTTCATTTATTTTTAAAGTGTACAAGAGTTCATGTTCACTTATTTTTAAAGTGTGTAAGGGTTCATGTTTAAATATAATAAATAATTATCATTTTAAATTTTTTAAAGTATATACCGAAACCGGTGAATCCGATTATAGGTTTCTTATAAAATTTGGAGCGTACACGTGGCGAACATCTGGTTCTTTTAATTTTTCGGTATGGTACCTATTTTTATGTTTTCGGTACCGAAGCCTACTCCTTTTGATAATGGCAAATAGGCAAATAGGTCGGTTGCCTATAGTGGTATGCCACGTACACACTAAAAAATAATAAAATAACATGATATGTGTGTGCTGGTTAGGTTGGGGTGGTTGATGATTAAAGAAGCCACTAAGTTTCAAGTATATTTCAGATCACTAAAGCAAAGTCCTTGATGATTAAAAAATTGAAGTTCGTGCTTGATGATTACAATAAAGCAAAGTCCTTCCTCAATGCAATTGGGATTTCTTCCTAAAAAGAAGTTTCTTGTTTTTTGTTTATATAGTTAATATTATCAAGTGAATTAGCTCAAAAAATTAAATTAAAATAATAGTGTTGAATATATATTAGTTATTACTACTTTGTCCCCTAGATTTTTACTTTGGTTCTATAGTGAACTGCATAAGATTTTATTAAACTCGGTAATTGTAGTACATTATATATATAGTAGTTATTGTCTGTGTCTAAAGGCACAGAGTAATAAAAAATAATAAACAATAAACATATTTATATTCATATCTAAAATCAAATCACAAACATAGAAAAGAGATAAATGAATTTAAATATTAATTGCATTGGGCGTGAGAGGAGGTGTGTGGCAGTGGTAATAGGAGACGGTAATGGTTGTGATGGATAGCAAAGATCGTAGTGGCGATGGTGGCGACGACGGTGGTGGTAGTGGTGGTGGTGGCAGTTGCGACAGTGGCAGTGATGGTGCGGCGGCGGCGGGTGGTGGTGGTGGTGGTAGTTGCGGTGGTGATGTGGTAGAGGTAATGGTTAGACAGTTTCAAACACTATTTTTTTTTAAAGTACTTATGAGAAATAATTCTTAGAAGTATTTTTAAAAAGTCACCCAAAACATACCCTTAGAGGCCAATTTTTCCTATAAAATTTAGGGTGTTAATATTAGCCGTTAGATTAACCTTAAAGTAAAATTTAAAGCGATCTCAACTGCGAATAGAAAAAGTCATTTTGTTTATCTGTTAAAATTTGAATTGTAAGTTACTTTATTATATATACTAGTTATTGCCTGTACATGAAGGTACAGAATAATAAAAAATGGTAATCAATAAATATATTTATATTCATATCCAAAATCAAATCACAAACATAGAACAGAGATAAATAAATTTAAACATCAATTTGTAATGGGGGTGAGAGGTTGTGGGCGGCAGTGGTGGTGGTGGTGGTGGTAGGAGACGGTGTTGATTGTGGTGGGTGGCAATGACCGTGGTGGCGGCAGCGACGACAATGGTGGCTGCGGTGGCGACGACGATGGTGGCTGCGGTGGCAGTGGTTGTGGCAGCGACGGTAGTGGTGGCGGCGGCAGTAGTGGCGCTGAAGGTGGCGGTAGTACTGGTGGTGGTGGTAGTGGCGATGGTGGCGGTGATGGTGATGGTGGTGGTGATGGCAGCGACGGTGGTGGCGACGACGGTGGTGGTGGTGATAGTAGCGGTGGTGGTGATGGTAGAGGCAGTGGTGGGGCGGTTTCAAATATTTTTCTTTTTCAAAAATATTTATAATAAATAATTTTTAAAAATATTTTAAAAAGTCACTCCAAACACACCCTTAGGAAGCCTATTTTTCCTATTAAATTTAGGGTGTTAATATTAGTCGTTAAATTAATTTTAAAGTAAAATTTAAAACGATCTCAACCGCAAATAACAAAAAATCATTTTGTTTATCTTTTAAGATTTGAATTGTAAGCTACTTTGTTATATAGATATATATATAAAATAAAACACAATACAATTTAAATCTCAAAATATAAGTAAAATGACTTTTATTATTCGCGGTTGAAATCTCTTTAAGTGTTATTTTAAAATTAATTTGACGACTAATATTAACACTTTAAATTTAATATGAAAAATATAACTATAAGGGTGTGTTTAGGATGATTTTTTAAAAGTGTTTTTAATACTTATAATTTCTCATAAGTACTTTTAAAAAAAATAGAATTTAGAAACCGCCTCACCAATACCTCTACCACCACCGCCCCCACCACAATCACTACGACCACTACCGCCACCCCACCCACCACCACTATTGCCACCCTACCACACCTATAGCCCCACTAACACCGTCACTACCACTACCATTGCCCCCTTCACCATCATCTCTTCCACAACAACTACCACCACCACCCCCATCACCTCCACTATCGTAACCCCACCACCACCCCCATTGGTGCCCCATGACCACCATCATTACTGCCATCTTACCACCATCGCCACTATGGTACCATTACCCTTACCACATCACCCTCAGTGCCCCCTAACCACCATCACTGATTAACTATCAAAATTATTATTTTTATTATATTTAATGATTGGTTAATTGCATATTATTTGTGATTAAATGTGTTGAATTATTTGATTTTCTAGTTTTAGTACTTTTTCTAGTTGTTTGGTTTATTTTGCAGGTAAATTGGTTGATTTAAAGTAATAATAGATAAGGCAAGTAAATCAATCATTAGAGGAAGAATCACAACTAATAAGGATTGAAGAGTCAATATTGAGATGAGAAGACTTGAAAATATGACAGTAATTTAATTCTTATAAGAGTCCAAGATGGAAGAAAACTCATTTAAAGTTAGATTAAGAAAGTATCCTAAAAGAATAAGGATTTGACACGTCTTCAGTATTCTGGTCATAACTTTTGACTCTGATATCTGGTTTACTTGATTTTTGGGGATTGAAAAGAAGACTTCAAGGCTACAAAAGTGTATTTCACGAAAATTTCGTGATTTAGCTTCTAAATATGCACAATTCAAGCTCGAAGTCTAGACAGATTTTATACCCGCGCCTCAAAGATTTAATGTACGGGATTTAACCTTACAAAACTTCTCTTTTGAAAGGAATTCCTTCCAAGACAACCTTATATCTTCTACCTATACTTAAGATTTATTTTTAGTATAAATAAGGGTTCTCATCTAGGATTTAGGAGATGATTCTTTTCTCATCTAGTTTTAGTTTGTCATGTTTGACTAAAAGGCTAAGTTAGGGCTATGGGAGAACCTCTTAATGAAGTACGGTAATGTTATTGATTATGAGTTTAATGATTTATGATATTTTATTAATTTAACTTCTGATCTTATAGCAAATTTTTTACTCTGTAAAAATTCTTGAGTTGTTGTGTCATGTACATCGATTGCTTGAATTTCTCTGCGAGTAAATAACTGGTTATTCCATGCTTGAGGTAATTATTATTATTTCATAAAATAATATAATTGGAAGATTATTCAGGTTCTTAAATAATCTTTTGATTATAACTTTTTGATTTTCTTACTTGATTTGTTATTTGAATCAATCGACATCTGATTCTTGTCTCAAGTTAAGTTTTGAGTTATTAATCATTATTGTATGAAAATTGAGAGCGAGTACCTGATGCTCTAGTATTTTTGTTACTGTTTTTTAATTACTCCAATCAATATTTTCTCAACTCAATAATCTCTTAAATAAATTGTTCTTACAAGTTTGCTTTTTATTTATTTTGTGTCTCTTGTTTTTCCAATTCTCTGTGGTTCGACCTCGAACTCCCGAGAAATTTAT